TATTTTCAATTGCTATTACAAAATACCTGAGAAATACTTTATGAGGAAAAAGGATTTATTAATTTTCCAGTTGTGGGCATTCAAGAGCATGGCACCAGGAGGACTATCTACATCACAGCATGATGGATGTCATCATGTCATCAAGGCAGTGCAGGGGAGGGTTGAGATCTCATGAAGAAGCCAGAGGGATTCAGGGGACAGATTTGCTCTGCTATGATAGCCCATTCTCACAAGAACTAAGCCACAGCCTGCAAGAATGACATCCAGAGGGTAGTACCCCAGTGACATAACCACCTTCCATTAGGCTCCGCCTCTTAAAGGTCTCACTCCCTCACCACCCCACTAGTCATCACACTCCTGGATCACAAACACTTGAGGAATGAGCTCAACCCATAGCCAGCCATAGCGATGACCTTCTTTGTCTCTTTTTAACATTGTTTGGCTTAAAGCCTACTTTGATGGGAAAAAAAAAAAGAAGCTATCCTGCTCTCTTTTGCTTCCTGCATGCATGGAATGTCTTTCTCCATCCTTCCATTTTCAGTTTGTGCGTGTCTTTAAAGGTGGAGTGAATCTCACAGAAGCAGTGCATAGTTGGGTCTTACCTTTTTTCTTTTAATCTATTCAGTTATTCCTTATTTTTTGCCTGGAGAATTCAATCTGTTTGCATTCAAGGTGATTTTTGATAAGTAAGAACTTACTATATTGCCCTTTTGTTCATTGTTTCCTGGTTGTTTTCAGATCCTTTGTTCCTTTCTTGCTCACTTGCTGTTTTCCTGGAGATCAGATGATTTGTCTCTAGTAGTGAGTTTTGATTCCTTCCTTTTTATTTGTGTGAATTTACCATAGGCATATATAAAGGCATATATAAAACTTGTTATAATTATAACAGACTATGTTAAATTAATAACAAGTTTAATTGCTTGAAAAAACTCTATACTTTTACTTCATTCCCCCTCCCCATATTTTATATTTTTGATGTCCCAATTCACCTCTTTGTATATTATTTATCCCTCCACAAAGTATTATTGTTATTATTATTTTAGTGGTTGGCCTTTTAAACTTCATGTTAAAGATACAAGTGTTTTATATACCATTATTATAATTGTAGAGGATTCTGAATTATGTATGATGTGATTTTACTGGTGAGTTTTATACTTTCATGAGGGACAGCTTTGTAGGGTAAAGTGCTCTTGGTTTGACAGGTTTCTTCCTCCTTTTAGTACTTTGAATTTGCCATCCTACTCTCTCCCGCTTATAGGTCACCTGCTGAGCAATCAGCTACTAGGTTTATGAGAACTCTTCTATATGTGATTTGCTTCTTTTTCTCTTGTTTGTTTTATGGTCATTTCTTTTTCTTTTATTTTTGAGAGATATTATTTTTGTAATATGTTTTGGTGCAGACTTATTTGTATAGAATCTGATTAGAGACATTTGATCCTTCTGTGCCTGGATATCTTTCTTTCTTTTTCTTTTCTTTTCTTTCTTTCTTTTTTTTTTTTTTTTGTACTGGGGATTGAACCCAGAGGCACTTAAAAACTGAGCCACATCTCCAGACCTTTTTAATTTTTATTTTGAGACAGGGCCTCACTATGTTGCTAAGACTGGCATTGAACTTGGATCCTCACAGGTGTGTGACACCATGCCTGGCTTCAGCTATTATTTACTTACGTAAGTTTTCCATTCCTTTCTCTTTCTCTTTTTCATGAATTCTCACAATTTGAATATTTGATCTCTTGATTTGTCCCATAAATCTCACAAGATTTTTTTTTCATTTCTTTGTTTCCTTTTTTTTTCTTTCCTCCTCTTATTATATATTTTTGATTAACCTGTTGTCAAGTTCATGGTTTTTTCTTCTTCATTAGTTCTGCTGTTGATGTTCTCTATTGCATTTTTTATTTCATTCATCGAATTCTTCAACTCCAGAATTTCTATTTTTTAGTCATTTTAATGTCTCTGTTACGTTTTTAGTTTTGTCCCTTTATTGTTTCCCTGCTCTCATTTAATTATTTCTCTATTTTTCTTGAAGTTTGTTGAGCTGACTTAAGACAATTATTTTTGAATGTCTTCTCAGGCTTTGTACTTCTCAATTTCTCTGGAGTCAGCTACTGGGGGATTATCATGTTCTTTAAGAGGTCATATGTCTTCTTGATTTGGCATGTTTCTTGCTGCCTCCCCTTGATGGCTAAGCATTGTCTAAGTGTATGCCTTAGGGCCTAGTGTCTCCGTGGAGAGACCTCTATGGGTTTGTGTGGAGTGCTTGCTGGATAGGATGCAGTTGGTGTGTCACCAGTAAGGGATAGGAGGGTAGTTTCTGTGCATCTCTGTCAGCTCAGGTTGGCATTGTAATGACTGGTAGGACCCTCAGCAGCCAATATTAAATGTCTGGGGCAAAGGTTGTTGGATTTTCAATGCTAATAGTTGTTAAAGTCCTTCAAATTTCTTTTTCTCTAACTAAGGAAGTTGTGATCCCTCTTGGCATTAGGTCCAGCCTGTGAAAGCACTGTGTTAGTGGTAGCATCAGTGTTTCAGGAATGGCACCTGTGTAGTGTCTATGACACTGGGCATAAATGGAGGGAATACTGTTCAGGGTTCTGAACCCTTAATGGAACTGACGCTTAGTGTATAGGTAACCCTGCTGTTGCATTAGTAACTAACTCTATGCAAGGCAGGAGTGCTTATGAAGTATTGGGGGAGCCAAGAATGGGAGCATAGCTGTAGTCAGAATTACAGTGGGGCCAGGGTCCGGGCAAAGCCAGTTTTCTGTGTCAGCTGAGCTGGTTCCCAAAGCATGGGCACATGCAGAATGTGTCAGTCATCTTTTCATCACTGTGACCGAAATTCCTGACAGGAATCAGGAGCATTGACTTATTTTGGCTCATGGTTTCAGAGGATTCAGTCCACGGTCAGCTGGCTCCAAAGCAAAACCTCGAAGCACAAGGGCACGATGGTGGGAAACTTCCCAGATCATGGCAGCCGGGAATGAGGAGGGGGTGGAGAGAGGAGAGGTGCGAAGAGGAGAGGAGGGGAGGGGAGGGGCCAAGAGGAGAGATGAGAACCAGAGAAGAGAAGAAGAGAGGAAAGGGTCAGGGGCAGAAATAATCCCAAAGGCCGTGCCCTCAGTGCCCACTTCCTGTGGACGTGTCCCATCTGCCTATCTTTTTTTTTTTTTTAACTTAAACAACTGGAACTTATTTTCTCATAATTCTGGAGTTCTGGAATCCAAGATCAAGGTGTTAGTGGGTTTTGTTTCTTCTGAGAACCTCTTGGCCTACAGATGGCCACTTTCTTCCTGTATCATCCCAGGATAACTGTGAATTTAGCAGGACTTGAACTCTCTCCATAGTCTCTGTGGTGAGCTTTCATTAGGACCTACCCATGAAACTTCCTGAATTACCATCTCTATGGTTTTTTATAATGCCCTGGTATACAAATTGCTTAGCTGTCTGACCTGATTAAATTTGGGCTCCTTTGCAGAAATTATTTTTGTGGCAAATCTTGGAGGACTTTTCCCACCCTGGTAGGGCTCTTCTCGGGCATTCTCTCTGCTGAACTAGTTGGCCTACGGTTTAGAGTGCTACCCTTAGTTAAGTAAAGCTGTTATTTTCAGGTTCTCCCTTAAACTTGAACCTCCCCGCGTGGTTTAAAATAAAATCGGTGCCTTTGGGGAGAGCTTCAGAGTTCTTTTTCCTGCCATTGCCTCTCCTCCTGGGCAAACTCTCTGAGCCTCTATTGAGGCACTGAATGTTGCAGTAATCCCTGCGCCTCCCAGTTTGCTTCTCCCATCAGGGAACCTCTGCCCAGAATTAGGGCAATGCTGGACCAAGTATTCTCAGCTTTCCCTGCACCACACAGAGTCACCATCCCATGGATAAGGCCTTGATGAAGACAGAGCCCTAGGTCCCCCGGTCATACTCACCAGTCACTTATGGTTGGAGGAAATGAGAAATGCCGCTTGCCTTCCCCACCATGCAGTAAGGTCAACATTGGGGCTGAGGGAAGGAGCAGCCCCATCCACTTGGCTGTTGGTGCTGCGTGAAGAGTCTGTCAAGCCGAGCTCCCATGGGTGAGAGGACGGCAGTGGGTGGGGCTCACCTTCCCCCAATTCTTACCTTTTTGAATTTGAGTATATGTTATTGAATAAATGCTTCCTTCTTTGCTGTATGCCCATAGGTTTTCTTCAGAGACTTTATTTTTTTTTTTTTTTTTTTTTCCTCTGTAAATATTTTTTATTATTTTTGCCATTACATAACCCCTCTGAGCAAGAATGAAGGTAGGATAAAGCATTTTTCAGTGAATCACCAAATAAAGAAAGATGAGAACAAATACATCATTATTATACTCATGAATTTCAAAGCACCATACTTTCAGAGTTCTTTTAAGAAATTTAATTCTCAGAGGTAGAAAAGAATAGTTGAAAAAATATTCACTTTTTTTTCCTGAAACTTGCCACCCAGATAAAATATCCAAGCAAATTATTTTTTTTGGAATGACAAACATTAGGATGTCTTGGTACTTATTGTCAATAATAGATGTCTCAATGTTAGTAGGAATAAGTAAGAGGATGTCATTCTCAAATCTTCCAGTCTTCATATGCCAATACTAGACACCCTCAAATCTTCCAGTCTTCATTTCTGATCATACTGAATTTCATAAATATTTTCAGAATATGCTTAGAGTCCCAATCATATTACTAAAGACACAGACTATGTTCGTCCTATAATTTCTCAATTTTATGATGCATATGCATTTTTTTGTTCTGATTTTTTTTAGTTAATATCTATTATTCATAATTCAGCTTAAATGCAACCTTTTCCACTTAACAGGTGTTGAAAGTCTCATTAATGAAAAGGCTCTGGGGCATTATATTGGATCCCAGCTCATCAAAGTCTTCTATTGGATCGCTCTGTATAAGTTCTTTCACACAGTCTTGCTCTTACATTGCTGGTCTCTTACGATCTTGGATTTCACACAAGAGAAGATTAAGAGCAAACGGTGACATTTCAGGAAGGAACACGAGGCAAAGAGATAGTGAGCGAATCGGAATTCATGTCTCCATTTGGAATACAAAGAGAAAATATGGGTCTGAGAGCTCCTTGGAAGGTGAGAGAAGAGAAATTATAAACAAGGGATCGCTCTGTCACATTGTAGAATGATATCTGCCCATACTCATAATCTAGGAAGACTCCCACTTTAAGCATTTGCTTTCTCAAGCAGACCTTTTTTAAAGGGGGAAAGACCCAGAAGGTGTAATTGGTCCCCATCAAGGATCCTGTGAGTAAGACTTTGGAAGCTTCAGGCATGTTGCCCTTTCTGTCTGCGGAGTCCTCCGATATGCCCAACTGCCACCTGGTTGCCTTTTCCACATCGACCTCCCAGTAGTGCCTCCCTGAGGTGAAGCTTTCCAAACCCATCACTGTAGCACTGAAGTCCAGTCTCCCTGGGTGGCACGGTACACCCTGCTGGAGATTTCCAACTCTCACTCTTCTCAGGTCCTCAGATAAGACTAGGCAGGGATGAGCTGTTTCAGGATCCAAAGTTATATGTCCTTTCCAAATAATACCTTGCATTCTGGAGCAGTGTTAAGGCAGACTCCGCACACTTGTTCTTCAGCTCTGAGGTGATCCTTTGGAGGCTGCAGAGCTGTTCAGAAATCTTGACTTCACTCTCCTTCAGTTTATTCATGTTCTCTCTTCCCAAATAGTGCAGTCTTTGTAGCATCTCCTGGGACTTCTCCTCCAGCTCTGTGGCAAATCTGTTCAAATGATTCAGACTGACTCCTCTTATGTTTGAGTCACATTGGTATCTGTGCAATCTCAGGAAGTTCAGATCATTCTCTTCACTCAACAACCGGAACTGCATGCTATATTCAGACTCAATCATCGTTTTAAAATTCTGCTCCTCTTCCTGAATCACCCTCATTCTTTCTTGCTCATCAGTCAATATGCTCTTAGCTACGTCAAGTTTCATTCTCAATGTGTTCAATATTTCCTGGAATAATTTCCTGTAATTCTCAGCAGCTTCTTGTATCCCATATACTACGTGATTCTTGTGCTCCTGGGACTGGAAGCACTTGCCGCAAAGTGTGACTTGGTCATTGTCACAGAACAGCTGTGGTGGTTCCAGGTGTGTCTCACAATAGGCATCTTCTCTGATATTGTGTTGTAGCTGGGGGTTGAGCTTTTTAGACATCCTGCTTTGCTGTCCCTTGAATTTGCAATCCTTCTGCCTCAACCTCCAGAGTCACTGGGATTATAGGCCTGATCCATCACACCTGTCTGTTGCAGTTTTGCTTCTATCACAGAAGAGATGTCTCTGGAGAAGGGTCCGAGGAGTTTCCAGAGGAGAGGGAGAACTCAACTTAGGACCAGCAGGGTTCTTGGCATAGCAGATGGAAAAGAATTCCCGCCTGAGCCAGGCAAAGGCACAGACAGAGGTTTACAGGGAAGGTAAGACATGCATTCAGAGGAGAAAGCTCTTCAGAGACTTTAATTTGTTGGTTGTTTGGTTTGGTTTTTCACACTTTTCATCAACTTTTCTTGTTTCTCTGAAGTGGAACAGATTTGACCAGAAGATAGAATTTGGTGTCCTCTCTGACACAAGTGACCCCTGTATTTGCTACTGTACATGAAGTCGTTGTACCAAGTTTCCAGTAAAATCACCTCTGACTCTAGAAGTATTTGATTCTGACCTGTATAAAAAATATTCTAGACTATTTTAACTAATGGACATGATTACTTGGGTTTATAGATCTGGATTGGTGCTTTTAGAATCATGGAATCCCCTTCATAAACTTGAGATCATACAGCATGTTTAATAGCATAAATGTACTTTTGATCGATCATTTGTAGTAATCCAAAGTTTCTCTTTTCGTTGCTGGTACCACGTATTCCACCACCGTGTTAACAATGTGACAGGAGAGGATTAAGTGGGCATAAAGCTAAAATATATTTGTAAAATTCCTTTCTTCTGCCTTTCATTTTTACCAACTCATTTAAATTACTAATCCATCCAGTGCGTGTGTCCACCGAAGAATTCAGAGCCCCCAGAACCGATCATTTCATCTCTGAAGATGGCTGCATTCATCACCTAACACGTGAGCTTTAGGGGGACATTGACACCTTGGCTCTGTACCCAGAGTGTACACTAGCTTGACATGGCAGCGGTTCCGGTGTCCATGGCACGAGTAAGTGCAGTGTAGCCCCTGAGCCAGTGTCAAGGGGTCGGACACTCATGGGGCGGCCATACTTGGTCGTCAGGGACACTCTTGAGAGAACAGGTGGTGGTTATGGTCCTGAAGTGTCACAAAAGTGGCTTCTTCTTGGGCCGCCCAAGGGTTGGTCCTCTCTAGGGTTCCCTGTTGACAAAGGATGTTGGTTACCTCAGTGACTGAAGAGGCCGGTTTCCTCTGAGGCACAGGTCACTGGACTCCACGAAGTTCCCTACCATCTGGCGATACAAATAGCCTCCGCCTTTCTTCTCTGTTCCTAGGAGTCCCTGGAGCCCCAGGTGTGCCGACCTCTCCAGCCATCCTTCCTATTGGATATTCTGGGATCTTGTACTCTACTGGGTAGCTGTAGATTCTTTAACAGGTCCTTGAGCCCTCCCAGGGCTATGTTGGTTTGTGGATTGCCATCGATATTTGTTTTATTAAATATCATTTTTGTTGGGGGAGGGGGTGAAGATTAGTCTCTTACACTGCACAGTCTTTTTTTATGCCTATTTCTTCTTCCTGGATTCACTTCTTGCTACAGTGATTTCTCTAAGAGCACTTTTTGAAAGCCCATGTTGTGGTAGACTTCTGAAGATATACTGTCCCCCAAGTGTCTCCAGTGTCAACACGTGGCTATTGAGCACTTGAAATGTGACCCATCTATACTGAGATGTGCTGTGAGTCTAAAGTGCCTACTAGATTTTAGAGACTTGACACATGTATACACAGACACACACACAAAGGTTGGTGTTATTCTTACCTACAAATATGCCAACTTTCCTCATTGAACTTATAAATTTTGGCTTTTAATCTTTTTTAACAAAAAGTTATCAATTTCTCAAGACTCTGTGTGATATGCCAACCAGTGGGCTCTGAGCAGCACCTGAGAGTCTCCCTCAAGAGCAGAGACCCGTGTGGCAAAGGTAGCCTTTAACTTATCTAAAAATGGTGCACAGAGCTTTTCAGAGACTATCAAGCTCTGGGAATTCTTCTGGAAAACTGAGGCTGCTATGCAAGTGTGCTCTGGGCAAGGATGATGTCACAGTAGCTCCAGAAAAGAGACATGTTTTTATATTTAATAAGGATTGGGGATCAGAATAACCATCAGGGAACTTGGGATGCAGAAGCCAACACTCAGGTGTGCCTGGGAAGGGGGCATTTGGGACCCAGGCACACAACACAGAGCCTGGAAGACAGCTGAGATGCTGAGACCAGGCCAGGTGTCTAGGCAGGTAGAGCCACCAGGTAGTGCTGAATTGATCAATAGATGCCAGCCTTGTGCAAACTCCTCCTTTAGGAAGCAGAGCTGAGGAAGATTAACCAAGATCACACACTTGTAAACATGGGTTTCAAGCACGTTACTATTAAGGAGTGTAATTGCAGAGGCTGAATCATGGAAGATTCACTAACAGGCAAAGTAGAACGAAAATAGCAACACTATTTATTTGCGTCACTGGGAAGGGAGGGCAATTCGTCACAAGGCAGATATCGCAACCTGACTTTCAACACAGGTTTCAGGGGCTGATGTGAAACTGAATTGCGTTCAAGGGAGTTGAATGCAAAATTTAGTTTATATGTAAATATAGGACTTTTTCTAGAGAGAGGGTCCAATATTCTGCAAGTGAAGAAAGCCAATTCAGTTGGTTTATTTTCCCGATAACTCAAGTTTTCCCTCTCCTTTAAAAGAACTTGAAAATATCATTTCAGGGTGGGGAATCTCCCTCTATGTATCTCCAATAGGTACCAATAAACAAAGCTTCTTTTACCGACTGTCTCAGGCAAGGTAAGCGCATCATGGTGGGATCTGGCATGTCCACAGGGAGTCCAAACATGCCCATCAGGCTTGCCATCGCTGAAGAGTGAGATGGTGACCCGCCCCATCGAAACTCCTGTCGGTTTTAGTTTTAGGTACTTCAGAAAACATTTGTGCCTTTTCTTCTTCCCCTGCTGTCCACCATGCTTCAATGGCCTCTGGGTATCTTCATTGTCCTCCTCTTGTCTAATTTTACACGACACTATCTGGTTGAGGAACTAAAGACAGAGAAGCCTGAGTAACGGCCATTCTTGAAGCTGGAGCCTCACTAAGACCTTGGTTTGTGTCTGTGCCAAAAATCGGACTCCTGGATTTGTGTGGGCATTGCTAGAGTTAAAACTGAGCAAACCAGTTGTGGCAATAACCTTTGGAGATGGGAGTATATTTTTGGAAAATGAAACCAAAGAATTGCTGTTTTTTTTTTTTTTTTTCTTTCAGTCTAATTTATAACCCTCTACTGCCAGCCTTCTCTCTTCCCAGGTCTCTGAGTGCTGCCAGAGAAGGTCATAGCATCTTCCTGATTTTATACATTTATCATGTCTAATCCCAGCTCAGCCCCTTTGGCAGTCTGCTGATTTATTTTATTAATCACATTGATGGTTTCAGACTTTTCTAACTCCTTGGAATGTAAGCTCCATAAGGGAAGAGGCTTTGTTTCTGTCTTGCGTCCTCCAAGAGCAGCCAGGAGACATCCTGGCACAAGGGAGGCACAGAGGAAATACCTGAATGAGCACACCAGCTTCCTGAAGAAACTTACACTGGGGAACAGGCCAAGTCCAAGGGGCTGCCCAGAGCAGAGGTGGGAGTAGCAAAGAGCTACACAGAGCTCCACCTAAAGTCTTCTGTGAAAAGATTGGTAAATTGAATTTCCTGAAGTTAAGAAAGAGCTTCTTTTCACCAGAGAGTAAAAACCCACAGTGTGGAGAAGCTATGTGCAACCCATAGAACTGACCAAGGGCTCATATCCAGACTGCATGAAGAATTCTAAGAAAACAATAAAAGAAGGGGAAGAAGACCTAATTCTTACATTTCATAAGATTATGTCCAAGTGGGAAATAAAAACATGAAGAGACGACGAATGTCATTATTTATCAGGAAACGTAAATTAAGCCACAATGAAACGCCACCCAGGAGAATGGCCAAATGGAAAACATGACCCACTCCTCTCTCCCACTGCTTTTGCTCAAGAATTTTGTTTCCCTACCTTGGTATCATAAAGATATTTGACTCTACTTGAGTCAGAATGTTGAAGTTTTTTATGTCTTACTATGTCTGGAATCTATTTTTGTAGGTTATGTAAAGTAAAAATCTTTTTTTTTTCAATGCAGATTTCCCTAACTCACTGATTCAATAGCACATTCTTCACAGTGGCCCTATGATACCACTTGATTATATGTCAGGCTATTGTACATATGGATACATTTCTGGACTGTCTATTATGTTCCGTTTTCCTATTCGTCTATTTCTACATCAATAACACAGCATTTTAATTAGTACAGATTTATGATTAAGCTTGATATAAAAAGTCCCTTTCCATTTCGCCTTATGTGTGATTCCTGTTGCCTTCCTGGGAGGCAAGAGGAAAACCTTATTCTCCACTGAACCGGCATGGCCTGTTGTGGTCTGGCGCTGGGCTTCTCCTGGTCTCCCTCCCTCCACCCCCACCCACACTCTTGGTTACAACCATAGCGAGATCTGCTTAGAGGGCCAAAAGGCACACACAGGCCACTTGATTGTGTGCCTGCTCCGCATGCGCTGTCTTCCACCCAGATTGTCTTTCTCCTCCCGGTCCCTATTGGTGCTTTAAAGTACAATTTGCTTCCTGTAGGGAGCCAGCACCCTGGGGGTCTTAGGTGTCCCTCCCAGTTTCCACACCTCCCACCCTTTTCTTTGACCTTCGTGTAACCCTGCTGTGCTAGGACCCTCGATTTGCTTGTTTCCCTGTAGCACTGAGGGGGGTCTTTGAAGCAGGGCTGTGTCTCCCTCATCTCCATATTCCTAGGATGTCATCAGAATTTAAAACGTTTCTCTTTTAAAGAAAATTAAAAGGCAAGCCACAGACTGGAGCAAATAGCTAACTGGCGAAGGGCTTGCATCCTAAGTAGGCGAAGAGCTGATGGATTCAATGTTAGAATATAAACAATCCAGTTTTGTTATTTTGTTTTT